CCTAAAATTGAAATTTAAGCAATTATTTTTATAAAATATATTAATTTAGAGTTATTTATGTGTTAAAATCGACCAAAATTGGATTGAAAATAGCCCAAATTACTTTATTTTGGAAGAAAATTCTTGTTTAAGTATTTATTTTGTTGAAATACTTTGATATTCAGGTTGATTTCTGGCTTAAAATTGAGTTAAATTGATTGGAAATAGCACACATTGCTTTATTTTGGCCTAAAATTTGAATTTAATCAATTATTTTTCTAAGTTCAAAACAATAAAACATAGAAATGACAATTTTTTCATTCTTAAAGCCAAGGAAAAAACAAAGCAGTGCTTTTATAAAGATACAAGAATAAGAACTTTTTATCAACTATTTTTATTTTTCTTTGCAGTTTTTTGCTTAAATTATTTACTTTTAAGATAAAATTTTTGATTTTTTACAATTCTACAAAAAAATCTCACTTCTTCTGAAAGTAAATATTGTTCCGAGGACAGTTATTCTGGAATTAGTTGTACAATTTTTTGAAATGTAATCGAAATTGTTTGGAATTATACCATTTGGAAGTATGTGTTTATAATTATAAAAAATTATAAAAAATTATTATAGCATTTTTTGGAACTACTTAAATTATTTGTAAATTACAAGAATTATTTATAAATTACTAAAATTATTTGTGGATTACTGGAATTATTCGAAATAATTTTTTTTTAATTATTTTAAGTTTGTGAGAACTGTCGGAATCAATTTTAGATTACAGGAATCATTTTGTTAAAAAATATACAAGTTCACAACAATAAAATGTAGAAATGACAAAATTACAAGAATTATTTTCAAATTACAAAAATTACATTAGAATTACGTTGCAATAATTAAGTTGCAATTACAATCTGAAAACAGTGGAATTACGATGTTTGATTGAAATTATTAGATTTTCGGTGAATTTTTTTGAAATTACTGGAATTTCAGTGATTTTTGTTGGAATTACTGGAATTTGGAATAATAATAGATTTAGTTAAACACATTTTTTTTCATATTGTTTAAAGTTATGTTAAAACTATACAAGTTCAAAACAATAAAAAAAATAGAAATTTAAGCAATTATTTTTATAAAATATATTAATTTAAAGTTATTTATGTGTTAAAATCGACCAAAATTTAATTGAAAATAGCCCAAATTACCTTATTTTGGAAGAAAACTCTTGTTTAAGCATTTATTTTCTTGAAATACATTGATTTAGGGTGATTTCTGGCTTAGAATTGAACCAAATCGATTGAAAATAACACAAATTGCTTTATTTTGGCCTAAAAGTGAAATTTAAGCTATTATTTTTATAAAATGCATTAATTTAGAATAATTTCTGTGTTAAAATCGACCAAAATTCAATAGAAAATAATCCAAATTACTTTATTTTGGAAGAAAAACTCTTGTTTAAGAATTTATTTTGTTGAAATACTTTGATTCAGGTTGATTTCTGGCTTAAAATTGAATCAAATCGATGTAAAGTAGCACAAACTGTTTTATTTTGGCCTAAAATTTAAGCAATTATTTTTATAAAATATATTAATTTAGAATTATTTCTGTATTAAAATCGACCAAAATTGGATTGAAAATAGCCCAAAT